TCTACTCTACCAACAAAATCAAAACAGATATTGATATTATAACTCATAAATGGCATACCATTATGATTACACTGCTGTGAGCCTAGGAATTTCACTGTAGTTCTCATGTATATCAGCTGTGTGTGTGTGTGTGTGTGTGTGTGTGTGTGTGTGTGTGTGTGTGAGAGAGAGAGAGAGCGAGAGAGAGAGAAAGAGAAGGAGGGGCACATCTGCTTGCTGTGTCAGCCCATGCGAACTGGATAGAGACAGTGGCTTTGGGATGTGGTGCAGCTACTGTACAGTATTGATTCCAAAAGCTTTTAGCGCATGGCCAATTTTCCATATGGGGCCTCAGCATGTGGCCCGGGGCTCTGGATGGGTCAGGCAGTGTTTTGTTTACAGTGAGTGGCTAATCTGGGTGAGCTGGCTGTGTATGCGTTTGTGTGAGAGAGAGAGAGGGAACCTACTGTAATAAACCATGTCTTTACTCGAACATATACAGACAAACACGCACAGAGGTTGATGATGCCTCCTTTCAGACGTTTCTGGTTTTAGGGTGTCAAAACATTTCCAATTAGATACAAATTCAAATTCAATTCCATGAATCGTGGTATCACATTTCTCACGCTGGTAGGACCTGTAGAACAGACAGGCAAAACCACATTGTCCCTTTTTGTTTGATGCTTCTCAGCCTTACCAATGAATTACCTTCATTCAAATTCACTAAGAGAGAGAGGGAGGTATCAAGGGAAGATGAAATGAATGAAAACGGGACAGAGAGATAAAGTGTGTGTGTGTGTGTGTGTGTGTGTGTGTGTGTGTGTGAATAAACGTGGCCCCGGGTGACTTCAGTTTGTGAGTGGCCATGACATTTGCTTTACCAGGTGTTGAGGAGCATGAAGCAGACTCTGATGGGGTCTGTGAACAGTTATCACATTTACTCCAGGCCATGGGCTATGTTGCTGGTTTGTCAAAGCTGGCTGTATGTAATGCTCTCCCTCCCTCTCTCTGACTCTCCCACTTTCCTTTTCACTTGTCACTCTGCTGCCCTCCCTTTTTCTTCCACGCTCCCTTTCTCCCTACTTTTTTCTTGGCCTGCTGACTGTCTCAGACACATCCTCTCTGACCATTTCTGCTTCATGCTTCCTCAGCCAACTGCTTACCTTTATCTTCCTCCCTACTTCTGCCCGATCCTCCTTTATTTCCTGTGTGGAAAAGAGGGGGGCAGGTAGGGCTGGCTAATGACTGGCAGAGGATTTCGGTTGTGTTTGTGAATGTTCTCATGGACAGCTGTATGGCAAGCACTGTTAAAATCTAGCGGATGTTTCAAATTCACGCATACATTGCACTGGATCCATGCACACGCTGCTCTGTATGGTCATGAATTATTCACTTTGTTTTTACTGGGCTGGAGAGCAAGAGATGGGGTGAGAGGGGATGGGGAGAAAGAGATCTGAGATCTGAAAGAGAGAAGAGTCAGTAACTGTTATCTGAGGCAGGGGAGCTAGCCTCCTTATAATTCTAGTCCACTCTCTTAATGTTCCCAAGCAATTGGAGTATTTGGACTGCAGTGTTACACCTATAGGTACACTTCTAGCTACCAAATGTTTTTAAGTTAGCCAAGTCTGGATCCAGGTATAAGATTTCATCATATTATACTATACACATTATTCGAGGTGGAGGGGATTTTTGTCACTTTGCAATTATAGGGAAATATAATAAATAATTATATTGAATTATTATTCAGTCCTAGATATGCAATGTAATTTTCTGGCCAGATTCAAGGTCCAACTATTCTATTAAGTGGTTGAACCAGTGCCAACTACTGAGCATATTCAATGCTGATTTCACAAGAATAGCATGGAATTAAACACGTGTGTGTGTGTGTGTGTGTGTGTGTGTGTGTGTATATATATATATATATTCCATATGAAAGTGTGTCTGTAAAGATTGCTCAGATAGTATACTGTACTAAACATAACATTGTAAGTAGGGCTGCAATGTACAATGTATCTCTTTTTTTAATCCAATTAAATGGTTCCAAATAGTCTTGGCATTTTACAATGGCCCAATGTGATGTTTTCAAATAGCTTCTTTTCTCTGACCCATGGTCCTCAAAGTATTCAATTTTCAAAGATTATCACAGAAAAAGCAATAAGTCCTCAAACTTTGGTGAAGCTAGAGCCAGTGAATGTTTGGTATTTTTGCTTGGAACAATAAACGATGATCAAAATTGTTGCAAATACATTTTCTGCCCCACTAATCCTGTTAAATAAGTTGACCAATCATTTCAGCTCTAGTTGTAAAGTAACACACTCATACATATCCCAGAGATGTGTTCATTTGATCTTTTAATTTCAGATCTGACAGAATATACTGTAAAAATCTGTGAACTGCACTGGCGAAAATCAAGCTGGAAAGCGGTTTAATCAAGTTAAATAAAAGTAGTGTGCTACTTATAAACTCCAAATGCTTTGTTCCCTGTCTTTTTCTCTTGCCATTTGTCCAGCCAGATAACTTGTTCCCTGTATCTATGTAAATCTCTTCAAGTGCTGTTGCCCACATAGTTTATCTTTGTATGATGCAAGTAGGATGAAATCCCTCCCTGGCCCTGCCTCAGCTATCTAGGGGAATCATTATTGCTTATTGGCAAGCCATCTTAGGTCCCTTTGCCACATTCCCAGAGCTTAATCCTTCTAATTGTGTGATCTGTTGTTATTTATTATGCAGTAAATGATTCTAGATATTAGTCATTCTGAAAAATTACCTCAAATGTGTTGCATTCTGGCTACTGATATTAACAAATACACAACACAAAAGTAGTGGTAGTAGTATGTTTTTTTTATTTAACCTTCAGGAAGTCCCTTGAGATTGAAACTATTAACTAAATGTTTTGTTATTTGTTGGGAGATGTTGGTTGTCAATTGTGTCAGTTTCATAGTACATGGAGGCCAGTATTGTAAGGCCACAGAATTGCTTTATAAAATGTGAATATTGAGCTACACTACTAGGTCTGTGTAAGAGTTATCAATTTTCCTTGCCCTAAAGACCGGGCAGGACGAAGTCATATACAGGTAGAGTGATCTGCTAAATCCTCTAATGTATTAGGGCTACTTGCCATGCTCTTTCTCCAGTGCTAATGGGATTACATACTGTAGAGTGTCCAGGAGTGGCAGAGCACTCAGATGCAAGCCTCTGTAGTGCAGGGAAATACACACAGTGCACCTTCTGCTAGTGTAACATGCAGCCTACTGTACAAAAAGAAAATGTGTGACTTCAAAGTCAACTTTTTCTTTCAACCATGTGATGGGGTTTCATTTTGTGAGCCAAATATATTCACTAATAACTTGTATTTACCTCATGCTTCCAAATTAGCACAGTTTTAGCCTTTTTTTTTTGGCTAAAAGGATCATTACAGGAAATCCAAGAAGACACACTGAAACTTTACAAGAGGAAGTTAACTTGATTACTTAGTTAATCTAATCTGTTAATTGCATGTTGCAAAAGCAACTATACATTTAGTGTGTTAGTGCAGCTTCCATGTCTTCTCTTGGCCATCTTTTACAATACAGTTCAGAAGGCCGATGATTGGAAGAGTGTATGTGATGTTGGCCTTTAATCTTGCTCTCTCCACTAACCTGCCACTTTAGTACATTTACCTTAAGTATATAAAATAAAAAAATATCTATGTGAATTGTGCTACCAAAGAGTACTTTCTCTTCATAAATCATCTGTGCAGAAGACACAGTGTAGAAGAATGTTGATGTGTTGATATGTGTAAATATTTCTGCAGCCTGTTTTTATTGTAGGAGTCCTGTGTATGTATATATGTGTGCGCATTAGCATGTGTGTGTGTGTGTGTGTCAGCTCAAATGCCAAAATTATCTTGTGTAACAGTAGCTTCAGAGCTTTCATTGCTTGTATTCTCCCTGAAGCACTTGCGTAAATTCCACCCAATGAAAAAATGCTGTCTTGGGGCTGTCGGGTCTGCTTGAATGATGATGGCACTGAGAACACAATGGAGCAGCATGGAACACTGACATAAGATCACAATTAATAATTAACTGACCTGCCACAAATGTTTCATCGCACATTTCCCTTGCATGAAAAGCTCACTTGGGTCTTATGCACCACACAAAGGTTATGTACTAACCTCCTCTTATGAGCATTTTCGCTGTTATCTTGAGTTCTGAGTTCAATTGAATATGACAGCAAGAACTGAAGAAGCCAATACCTTAAGCGTGTTGGTTGGTCAGCGTAAAAACAACACGTTTCTTCACAAAACACGACAGTCACAGACTATGAAATCGCTTTCAGATTCAGCGCATTTAGATTGAAAATCAAGGTGAAACAACATTATTTGTTTAGCCCTTAATCACAGTCCCAGTCTCAGGACTTGCATGAGAAAACAGTAAATGGAAACAGCACCCCCTATGAGAATGACCCTTCTTTTATGGTTATGTGTCCCTGTGTTTACCAGGGAGCCATTTGATCAGCAACACCCCCCACAGATAAAGTGAAGCATGAAGGCCAAAGCCTGCCCAACATTGATCTGAACAAACACCCCCCCCCACCCCCCGTCCACATGTCACCACAGTGTCACAGAAAGAGCAACAGTGTGTGACAGAAACAATGTAACAATGTCACACTATGACCATTGTAACATCAACATGTGTAGAGTTAATTTTGATGTGCTAGTGGAGATTGAGCAATCCCCTCCCTCCATTCTGCTTGTTGTCTTCTGTTTTTGTTTTATCTATTTTGTTCCATTTAAAGAGTAGATGTGCTTCGTTTTTTACTAATTGCATTCGGATATAAATTTTATGAATGTAATTCTTTAAATATCTGCATCTCTTCTTAGTTTAATGTATCTATATTTAAGTTCCCCAGGTACTGATCTTCTGTCTTTGTTTTTACCCATCATCTCTCTGTAATCTCTTATTACCCCCTCCTTTTTGCCCATTCCCTCTCTGCCACCCTTCTTCCCTGCCTCTCTCCCCTCCCTCTTTTTCCTTTCCCAGGCGAGTGATGCACAGTGCAAGCGGTGTGTGTGTGTAGTGTGAGCGAGAGCCATCGGTGTGTGTGTGTGTGTGTGCTTGTGTGTGTGTGTCTGGAGAGAGAGAGAGACATAGAACGAGCCCCTAACACGGAGCATGCCTCTGCGTCCGGCAGCCGGCAAACATGAGCCACCCAGCCCTCCACAGCAGGACCAGCAGCAGCAGCGGCACACTCACACACACTCACACACACACACACACACACCCTTACACACACGCAGCAAACGGCAGCCAGGGGGCCAGCACTGACAGCGGCAGCTCCCGGGAAGAGGACAGCGGCGTTCCCATTCCTGCCGGTGTTCCGGCTTTCCGTCCCGGTGCAGAGCGGAGCCACAGTGCAAGAGCACCCATGGAGGAGCCGACAGGCAACACCGTGGTCATCCGCATTGGAATCCCAGACCTTCAACAGACGGTAAGAGCTTGTTCTGTAGCCACTGCTGGAGAGAGGATAAAAGGGAAAAAGGGAAGCTGCCTCTCCCCCTTCCTCTCTGATTCAGTGCTTTCTACCTCTCTTCTGTCTGCTTTGTGGATTCTGCTTTATTTCTTTAGTTCTATCTTTTTTATCTTGCTCTTCTCCCTTCGTTCTTTATCCCATTTGTCCTTTTTCTCTTCTCCCTCTCTTTTTTGGTATGCACGCTTAGTGGCTGTATTTGGCTGTATGTGGCTTCTGTGGGTTCCACTCCCCCTCGCCTATTCCACAGATGTCTCGCTAATAAATCTACCTCTTCATTAACTGGGCTTCAGCTGACTTTGACAACTGGCCACTTAGGGTGAGAGCGGGAGAGGGAGGGAGGAAGGAGAGAGGATAGAAAAGGCATAAGAGAAGGCTATGAAAGGCATTGTAAATCCACAGGAAGACACAAAGTAAAGAATCAAGATACAGTAGTTATACCTGAACTTTACCTCAGCCTCTGTCTCTCTGTCTCTGTTGTTGCTTTGTGCCCAGACAGAATAAGAGATCCAATCCTACGTTCTTCTTAACAAAATCTTTATGGAGGAGTTTTCCTGAAGATGTAGTCTGTGTTTGTGCTATATTGCAGCCACTGAATAAACGCAGAACCATTAGACTGTGACAGTGATCTTTTAACTTCCCTTTTATTTTCCCATTTTACAGTATGCACTGTCCCTCTCTTAACAAAATCCCTGCGAGCATACTCAGGTGTGTTTGTTGTCAGGTGTGATTGCTGCAGAAGGTGATATGGAACAGGGCAAATGTCCTGATCCTAAAAAAGTTCATTTCATTAGTTTTTCCAGCTTTAATTCATACGAATTCAACAAATGTTATTCTGTCATGTTTGAGCAGATGTTTGGGCAATAAAACCACAGCCATTCTTAATGAATTGTTCTAGTAATGATTCTTTTAGCTGTTTTAAAGTAAGGACTTTATTTACCGTGAACTAAGGACGACAATACTCCCATTAAATGTCCCTTACAAGTCACGGGCTACAATGATCTTGAACAGAAAGTGATTGCGTTTATGTGCAGTTCCAGGCAGAGAAGAAGAAACATTTTACCCTTTATTGGCTATCGAAAGAAATTAAGTGTCATCAGCTCAACATCTCATCTCTAACCACATGCTCTCTCATGTGTCTGCGCTCTCACTTCTTGTCAATAGCATGTATAAGATTACATTATTGGAGAGGTATCATGTGATGTTTTCTATGTAACACAGCATTAAGCTTTTATCACTGATGTGCCTGTTTCAACACTTCTCTACTCACACATACTCTTATACGGATTTTACTTTTACAGCCAGTCACTGCATACTAGTGCTCAGACCTTTTTGATTCTTTCTCCAGACATTGATGGCAAAGGCAAGAGGCTGTTTTTTGTGCTTGTTATTGTTGATTACCTCATTGTTTTTGGCTACTTGGCTGAAATAACCCATTGAATCTGAGTGAGTCTCCGGCACTGCATGCTAGGAATAAAGACAGGAAGTAAAAGGAGAGCAGTTGAAAAGAAAGCAGAGTATTCCCCAAAGGTGCTGCAGAATCGCCGTCTGTGAACAAAAACGATTTTCAATCGAGCTCAAATATTCGCTCACACAAACACATACTCACACACACATTCAATTACACACATACATATCATATAGACACACGCAAAGATCTTTGCAAGAACACACAGAGGGTGGCAGAGTTGTATGTGGAAAGACAAACAGAAAGAGAGTCTGAAAGTATGACAGACAATCATACAGGCAGATGACAGATGGCCAGACTCTGACAGTCTGAATCTTTAATAGAGCAGTCAAAAGTAACGTGTGTACTCTGAGTGAGCAGGAGATTACACTAGAATAGTCCGCCTGAAGTAGGATTACACACCTCCTGCTGTGTTTCAAGCCTGGATCAGGAGAATGAAGCACCATGCAACGATCCAGGCAACACTTTCCTTTTCAGCAGGAGAGAAGGGAGGAGCGAGGCCTCACATGGGAGGAGCATGATCTCCAGTCTAAAATTTGTTAATGTCACAATTCCTTTTTCATTGAATTCTTGGATACAAGATATTTTCAGTGGAATTTAAGATATCAATTTAATGGAGATCTTAAAGATGAAACCCACTTTGTGTTAAGTGTATTCTTCTTAGTGTGGTGTTGAAGTGGAATAAACAGTGGTGCTGGAAATGCCAATTGCTGCTAAGTGTTGAGAAAAGTTGGACTTGGAAATTTGACGGAAAGTTTTGACGGTCGTACATTTTGTCAGTTCTACTTTGTTAAGGCAAGGCAAGGAAAGTTTTTTTGTATAGCACATTTCAACCACAAGGCAATTCAAAGTGCTTTACATAAAACATAAAAGCAACATAGGGCAATACAAAAAAATACATTTAAATACAATTTAAAAAATGACACAACAAGATCAAACAGCAGAGTAAAAATTAAAGTGCAGTGTAAGATATTAATCAAAAGCCTCAAATTTGATTTAATAAAAGGCACCAGCAAAAAGAAAAGACTTCCCGTGAGTATGCATACCCGAAATTAAATATTTTGAAATGGGACCTGGGGATCTGCCTTGTAATCTGTGAGTTCATTACAAAAAGTTTTCAGTGTCCAGTTCTTGTTGCGACTTTAACTAAGTATTGTGTCTTGGCAGTGGGAGACTTGCATTAACAGTTGATACCACCATTTGTTCAGTCAGCCTGTTTTTTTTCTGGATCACTGGTATTATTTGTCGTTCATCATCCAGCTCAACCAAAACTCTATTTCTATGATTGGAGCAAAAATAGACAGCTTCCCAATACTCCTAATGGGTGTCATTCATCTCTCAACAGGGGAGAGGGAAACACTGACATGAATGGTCTGCCCCCTTACCTGCATTCATCCTGATTCTCCATTTTGTTTCTTTTGTTGCCTCTTTTAGTGCATTCTTTGTCTTTATTCATTCACAGAAGGTGAATGGAAAACAATTTCCCATCCAGGCCAGCATGTGTCCTTCTCAAGTCTGGATTCTCTACCATAGACTTATGAGTCTAAGGATTCTGTGCAGTATGTTTACTGGTTGTAGAACAATTTGTTTGGTGGTGAAAGTCCCATATCTGAGCTCTGTTATTCTTAGCCACCCTTTCGGTGATATGTGTTGATTGTCCAGCCCTTACTAGGGACAAATTGTCCTGTGTTTGTGTCTTGCATTTGGTTGTGTGATGTTGTTCCTGCTTGTATCTTACACCCTTATATTATGTGCAGAACTTTATCAGTGTCATGTTTACATAGTCTGCAACTAATGGTCTTGTCTATTGTGGTTCTGCTTACCTTGTTTTGAATGTCAACTTGTGTCCTGGTGCTGTCCTTTAGTCTGACCATTTGTAACCATTGCTAGGATTTTTGGTTATTTGCCACATCTTCTGTCTGCCCATGTTCCCGTGTAGGGGATTGGCTTTCCAAGGTATCTCCTCTACCCACTATGCAAACATTCTTCCTCTCTGCTGCTGTTTCGAGATATTCTTTGAGCAGTTTATCTGGAGGAGACATTTTACTGATGTACTCACCTCTGTATGCCAGAATGTGGATACAATTATCTGCGTATTGTGATTAATGTTGATGTTTTACTGACCTTCATGCCATCAACTACCCAGCTATTCTTAGAGTGTGAGAGTGCGAAAGACTAAACATAATTAAAACTTATCTGCATTTGGTACTTGGTACACAAATACCACAGAAGCAGCTGGGTTGCAACAATAACAATGAGCCATGAACCATAACATAACGTTTAGCAGGCTCTTTCCTTCTACCACACAGGTAGACCATACTACTACTACTACTAATACTGACCCTGTTTGGTCTAAAGATTGATTGTTTGGTTGATATACAAGTGCACAACCAAGATTTCAACCACAGTGTGTGAAACTGCTCTCGTTTGATTAAATTAATTGTGTATAGGAAGGGTATGAAATTGGCGGGTGGCCATTGGCCACTTTCGCAGGGAAAATCCACAATGGAAAGACACATGTAGTAAAGTTAGCGTATTGTGGCAATCCGGGGAAGCGCCTGCGTCACACACTAGGCAGCTCAGGGAACATCTATGGTGGCATTTCAAACCAAGCTCACTGGTGGAAGAGGCCCAGTTTGTCCTGAGTGACAGCCAGTGCACTGCTTGCCAGCAGCACCAGCTGGACTATGGAAGGTAACTCCGGTGCCAATTTTTGTATTGAAACTCAAACTGAGTATTTTTGTTTGCTTGCTGGGATCCAAAAGAGGAGGTTTTGGATGAGATATGGACTCTTGTGGAAATTTGAACCTAGATAAAGACCCATTCATTGGTGGTTGAACTGTGGGTTTTGTGTTGAGCACTGACTAAACTTTGTGTTTCTTGTCGTCCGTATGTAGCTTTTGAAATACCTGGTTGTTAAGTAAGGTGGAGTGATTGTCATGTGCTGAAAGACATGGGTCCTTTGTGCATCCAAACATGTATGTAATGTTTTTGTGTAAATGTATTGAACAATGAATTACAACATTATTTACATTAAATGATCCTTCATTGCATACATTTCAGAAGTGGCCTATACAATTTCTGAGTGGTAAATCTGCCTGCCACAGTGCCACAGAGAAAAAAGTCAATTTCAGATAGTGTGTATGGGATTGTAACTGTAAAAAATTAAATGTTCTCTTCAAATCTTAAAAAGCAAAAACCTTTATATTTTGTGTTTCGGATTCTTCTTTAGTGCTTCTCTAGCAATAACACAATACATGAAAGTGTCTGTCATATAAAATATATTCTACATCATTATGTAGTACAGTACATAATGGTCAATTGAGAATTAAATGAATTGAATACCTGACAAATCAAGCCAATTCATCACATAGATGCAAAAAAAAAGTGTCAATATTGCAATAGAACAGCCCTGGTCATGTATGCACAAAGTGCCCGTAATGGCTTATAACCACCAGAGATAAATCTCTGCAGTTGACAAATCTATAATCTC